GACGAAAACTTATAATTTTCGGCTATTTTAGGTACTCGAGAATACTTTTCGCTTGTTCTTTTTTTTAATTTTTATTTTTTTTTTTATCCTTGCGAATCGTAGAAAATCCGTCGTTCGATCGCTAGAAAAAACATTTTTATTATTTTTATTATTAAAAAAAAGAAATTAAACTCTTAAAAGAATCGAAAAGAGAATCATTGACGCATCATTTGTCAGCGACTTATCATCTATCCATTACTTGATTCACTTTTCAAATTCGATCTATTTTTCGATGTCTCTTCTAAGAAATTTAACTTCCATCGTATTTTTCTTTTTTTTTTTTTTTCTTTTTACTTCGTCTATTTTTACTTCTAGTAAAAATTCCTCTGTTAAAAGAGAAGAAAAAAATCATTCAAAATTGTACCGAAAATTAAAACAAAAATCATAAATACGAACGAAAAGATCGAAAAAAGAAATATAGTAATTAAAATTATTAATTATTATCGTTATAATTATTAAAGCGCGGCGAATAATAAGAGGAAAAGAAAACGATTGATTGATCAAAAGTGTGTAAAAGATATCTTTATTAAAAAAAGCATAACTAAATTTTCACGATTAAATAGATTTACGATACTGATAATTCGAATGATAATTCAAACCCAAAATGATTAAAAAATTAAAATAAAAGAAAAGACAAAGAAAAAATAATAAAAAATAATAAAAATCGTTGAACTTTTTTATAAATCTCGTAAATTAATAATGAAAACATAAAAATTAAACTATTCGAGAAACGAAAAATATTAAAATTAAAAATTTATAAACGTAACGTAAAAACAAAGAAAAAAGAAGGGATAATAATTGATAAATTAATAAAATGAAATAAATATTAATATTCTTACGAATATTCGTCGCGAACGTGAATCGTAGCGCGATGTCGCGTCGATTGTTATTGGATACGTAATCGATTAAACGTAGTCGTTTTCCAAACACGGAGAGAAACGGATTTATTCGATTGTTATCGTATACGTATCGACTGAACGTAGTCGGTTCCCGAACACGGAACGGGATGGACGTTTTCCTTTTTGCTCTCCGAATAAAGATTTCGTCGATATACGATATATTAAGTAAAATATTAAAATGTAAATATTAAAATAATAAAAATTAGAAAAAAAACGTATAAAACTTGAATACGGAAAATAATCGTGTGATGCTTTCGAAAAAAAAATTCGATGAACGATAAAAGAAATAAAAAAGAAATAATCGTATCGCGTTGTCGTTCCTCCTTCGTTTCTTTTTATTTAAAACAACGAAATAATGATATAACGTTATAACGTTATGTCGTTAATGTCCGTATAAACGATAATTTAGAATTTAAAAAAAAAAAAATTAAAATTCTATCTTTTTTTTCCCCTTTGGTCTCGAGCGTTGTAATAAAATAAACGTTACAATAATTCGTTTGAACTATAAGTGAAATTAAAAAAAAATAAAAATTTCGTTTAAATATTAAAGATAAAAGAACCAAAATGATCTCTGTACGTGTATCTTTGATATCGGGAGTGACGCGTGTTTACGTCGTTGAATATCGTCGCTGTGTCTTCGATTACGATGATTTTTTGCGTAAAAGAATTTTCTATAAAATGAAATATTACGAGTTAAAATTCCCGATAAAATAGTCGGTACTTTAGATGTTAACTTGAGATGTTAACTTTAATTTGAAATAATATTGAAGAAACGTTATGTTTGATCGAGCGTCGCGGATCGTATACGCGTTACTGTAAAGAACTATTATTTAATTATTTAACTATTTGCTTACTTACTTATTACTTGAGCAGTTTTCGTTTGCTTTGTTTGTTATTGTTGTCTCTATATTTGTTATACGTCTTATCTCTGATAAATCCGAACGCGATTTGCGAGAGATTATTCGTTTATTGTGATTTATTGTGATTTAATTAAATTGATTTTGCCTTTCGATATATTAAAATTCCTAGTTGGTGAAATTTTATTTAATTAATGTTACGTTAAACGATAAATGAAATATTGGCAAAATTTAACATCGAGAAAATTTTTTGACGTTTGAAAAACTTATTATATTAATCTGTTTAAATGATAATTTTTTATTAATTAGATAATTAAAGTAATTTAATCGAATATTTAATTCTTTTTTTTTTTAATGCCATACGTTTTTACTAAATCTTCTTTGATAATATGATAAATTCGAGGACAAAAAGTTATCGGAAAAAAAAAAGCAAATATCGAAAACGTTTCGTACGTACGTTTCTATCCATTGCGTATGAATGATATCTGAATGAATGATTGTAATGTATCATTGGCTGAGAAATATTTTCGAAGAAAAAAAAAAAAATGGAAGAACGATTGATATTTTTATAAATGCGTTTCGTGTTAATATTTCTCTCGTAGCGAATAATTAAAGATAAAATGCGTCTCTTGACCAAATTTTTTTGTGGGACTCGCGACGAGAATAGAGAAAGAATGTGGAAGGGAAATTATAGTTTCGAGTTCGTTAATTTTTTTTATTAAAATCTTTTATTGATTAATTTTTTAGAGATATTGATCGTATCGAAAAAAACTTTTGATACGCGATATTGAACTCCGTCTATATGTGCACGAATTCTTGACAATGAATATATTAACACGAAGCGATCGTTTATCTATTGTTTTTACATACATCGCGATAAATAATTTTCAAAATGTACGATCTGGTAAACAATCTGATTATACTTGCGTATTACGATAGGAATGAATTACGATATATTATAATCTATATATGTATTAAGAATAATGTCGATATTCGTTGCAATTTCGTTGTAATATCGTTGTAACTTCGCTACAAAAATTGTTTTGTATTTTATTTTTGTATTCCACGGATACGAAGGATACGAGTTTTGATCCAATTGGTTCTTGTAATTCCAAACTTATCTTCCAATTTTTTGCTCTGCTGCTCTGTTGACCGTTCGTTGTCGAATTTCGATACGATACGTGATATATCGTATATCTAATCCATTTCGTGAAATGTTCTCTCGACGCCGGAATTATCTCTTGATTTTTACTATCGTAAAGATATACGTATCCACGATATTATCCGCGTACTGCGTACTGTATTACGTATCCGCGATTGTATTAGAAGAATATTCGTGAGTAAAAGATCGATGTGTGTATTTATATTAAAAACTAATAATTATGTAGATGATAAGGAAGAGGGAAGCGATAATTTTAGTAAGTGGCATAATATTATTATTTATTATTGAATATGCATAATTGTACGAGTATAAACGTTTTATTTTTTTTTTTTTTTTTTTTTTTTTTTTTTTTACGCTATGCGCGTATCCACGTATCTCGCCATCGTACAAACATTTCGCGAAATTATCATGTTTTTCTGAACTCGGATTCCATTTATATTATGCGATATTATCTTCGATCTTCTTTGCATCGATCTTCTTTTATCTTTTCTTTTTCCAATTTTATTTTTCTTATCCTCCGTGTAAAGTGGATATGAATAATATCGTATCACCTGATTTTATTTTATAATTGCTTTCGCCCTAAAAATTTTTATAAAATCATTGTTATCGATGTAAGAATTGAAAGAACAAAAGAAAAGCAAATTCTTCTATTGTAAGCTGACAGAGATAAAATAACGAACGCATGCGAATACTGTACACGAGTACTGTACACGCATACGCGATATAATGCGTACATGATATGTATATATAAAATATATGATATATATTTACATAATTACTTGTACAATTATTATTATATATTATAATATATATATATATATATATATGATACGATGATTTTTACATTTACCAATAATTCCCAATCGATGTCATTTATAAGAACCAAAATTCCTGGACGCCTATAAATATAAAATATAAAAATAAATATAAAATAGTGAGAGGTAGAATGAACATTTGTATATATATATTATGCATATATTATGTATTTAGATATTTATATCGATGATATAAAGAAATAATTTCTATTGTATTGATTGATTTTTATTACGTTTATACACGAATTAACTATTCATTTATCACGGATCTAATAAAAAAAAAAATCTCATAACATCGGATAGAATATATAATATATAATATATCGCATAGAATATATATATATGAAGATCAATTTTAATTTTTTGAAAGAAACAATATAATTTTTAACGCTGATCCATGCAGCTCGTTATTTCTTATGAAAGAATACTAAGCCATTTGTATCGAAAAATCTTTAAGTTTAAAAGATATTTTAATTTGAAATTTATAAAATTTATTTTTACAATGAAAGTGAAAGAACAATGATGTATTGTTTATATCTTTTATACGACATAAATTTAAATATTTTTCGATGTGAATAATTTGATATTTTTTTATAGGAAATAACGAGCTACGTCGATTACGTGAATAAAAATTATTATTTTGCTTATAAAAAGAAAATTGAAATTGATACGATTTCTATGCTTCGTTTTATAGAAAAACTATTAATATCACACTAAAAATTATTAAATATTGTATTTTTTTTTTTTTTTTTTTTT